CGGCTAAGGAGAGTAGACTAGAGCAACGCGAACATGTCGCTGCAGCACTGATGCTCGTAACGCTGTTGCGCAGACGATTCAATGGTCGTATTTGCTCGACGCCGCTTGCGCTGTATATGCCACTCCCCGTGGTGTGTGTACGTCGCATACCACTGCTGCCGGCGTTCGCACCGCCACCAGCGCTACAGCTGTTGTGTCGAGCAACGCCGCCGCCACTGCCGTGTTTTCCGCCCGCACCCAGATGCGCTGCTGCACTGCCACCGAAAACGGGCGAACACAACGAATTAGTTTGACGCGTCAGCGCCAAAACAGTCTCACACTTGCGCAAGCCACGGTACTGCACTATCGAATGTGACTTCTCGTTGTACAAGCTGGCCGCGCTGCCTTCGCGCCGCATCATGTTCCACAGCTTTTGTTGCACAACATTTAGCGATGAACTGCTACCCTGTATCGCGCCGTTTACGTTCAACTTTTCGCCACTATAATCACTTTTACGCTGCTCCAATGCTGCTGCAAACGCTTGCTTATATTGACGTCCAGCCAGCGCGGCATCACGCAAAAGCGCCAAATTTTGCTCTGATGGCGTACCCGTAATAGTTATTTCCGGAGAGGCTGGCATTGGTTGATGTGAGACGATGTTGTCTGATCGACTCGCCAATGTTGCTACTGATAAAGCGTCCGCATTGCCGCTATTACCCGAATTGCTGCTAGTACGTGCGCTCGATGACTTACGTCCCACTAGAGACTTCAGAAAGTTCTCAATACGCCTGCGCGGCGGCAGCGTGCCACTAAGCGAATTCACCAATCCACCTTCGCTTTCAAATCCATTCACCGGCACCGATGTTTGCTCTGCACTAGTTGATAGACCAACGCCTCCCGCACCACACCCGCTGGCGGCCATTTCATTGAGCAGCGTGGCATTGTGTGCGCTCGCCAACGGAAGCGATGTGGGCGCTGGTGGTCCACCACCATTTGCACGCCTCGCTTGGCCGCTGTGTTTCTGTTGTGCGCGACTGATGGCGGTGCCAACACCACTGCCGCCGATACTGATGCCAATGCCGTTGCCACCAACGCTGACATCCTTGCCACTGTGGCTCTGACTGTTGGCCTGCGTATGCAGCTGCGCCTGTATGTTGACTTGGTTGCGCGTCTCTAGCAGCGCAACGGTTTCATTGTCCACCGCCGTTGAAGAGTTGTTTGTGGACCGATGGTGTTGGTAGTGGTTGAGGTGTTGTTTCTTTGTGTTGGCCAGATTGTGAATTGGTGAGGAATCCTGCGGAAAACGAATGGAACAAGATGAAATTCGTTAATTTTGACATTGAAGTGAATATAAATTGATTTATAATTGTATTTTTGTTTTTAATTTTGGTTTGTTTGTTTTTGAAATATGACTTTTAAAGTGTTTCTGGTAATAATCGATATTTCTAAATCAGTGTCGGAAAACTAGAAAAATGTTTTGAGTGCCTACCACGCACGAGATATTAGGGGAATGCACTGTCTTGCTAAACCCTTGCACGGTGTACGGCATGCAAATCTCTCCCATAGGAAAACCGGTTTTACGTTCACCGTGGATGGGTTTTGAAAAACTTTCTAACCCCCATTTTTACCACCCATGCTACCACGTCGACGGTGCACCAACTCCGACGGTGAACAACCCCAAAATTCTCGAAGTAATCTGCTCGTTTTCTCGGCGCACACATCCAAAATTACCAATAAAGTACAGAGCTGCAACAAAGTTCTCAAATCGCTCGCAAGCCGCACTTCGGGTAAAGACAAAAAAACGCGGTTGCCAGCATAGAAAGCAATTAGCTGCCTCAACTAAAGTATGCTACGCCTGTGTGTTCGCCAGACACAAGTACGACGCCATAAGGCAGCACTCCTGACAGCCACGGTTTGCTTTCTGTTGTCGCCTGAACATCACATACAGAGTGAGGTCCAAATGCTCACAGTAAGAAAGCACAACATCACGCTCAGTAAGCAGTTCTTAGTAGAGTGCTATAGCCGTGAGTAGCCGAACACATACATACTTGTTTGATGCAGAGCCGTCCCCTAGGCAAGTCAGTAGGCATGGGCTGAAGGGCGACCTCCAGTATCTCGTACAATAGCCGCTGGACCCGAGACTGTACAGACTGGCTAAAAATTGCATTCACAGGGAGGCTGTTTCCACCTACACAGATTCCCGCCATGTTATTGCCATCATCGATGTCCAAGCACCACTTGTGACCGAGAGTGAACTTAAATTGCCGCGAGAGACCCGTGCAAGTCTAAAAAGCAACCATCGCATACAGAGGTTCATACCCCACGCCAGCTCTTCACATGCTCTTTTAATCCAACTCAACTAACGCACACCTTCCTCTGATTACAGCGATTGAAGGACTATCTGGTCTAGGCAGGGCTAAGTAACCGTTACAACAAAAACAACATACCAGACAGATCTTAAATACCTGAAATTTATTATTATTATATTATTTAAAAGCTCTGCTAGGAAGGAGCAAGGGTAACACCAACAAACCAGGGACCCGGACTTTTATAACATTTATAATAAAAGTCGTTAGAAAAAAGTTAGTTTTTGACTTTTATTTTATTTGAAATTAAATAATCGGTCAACCCGTACTTTTATTTGTTTAGTCGAGTAAAAGCAATTAAACTTGGCCAAATATTTTTTAAGACCGAAACAAAAGTCCTTTCCTATTTAATAATAAAAAAACCGCTTATCCAAATTAAACAAATTTGGTAACAAAATGGCTTTCAAACTAAAATGCCTAAACGGGAATATTTCTCTCGAAAACTTCAAGAGCCGCTTCATCAGATGTTTTCATTGTCCATGCCTCAGCGCCATAAACCAGCACAGGTATGATGACTGAATTACAGAGTGTGATCTTTTTCCGTCGAGAGAGACCTTATTTTTTGTTTTTCAGCCGCGTAATCGCTATTCTTACCACGTCATAGTCAGGCGGAGGGATGGAGGATGGTTCTGTGTGCAGAAGTCCGCGTAAGTGGGGAAAGTTGTTGACTGCCATTCAGCGGGAAGTGGCCAGAAGTGATTCTTGTGCATACAATTCCAATTGCAGCTCACAACATCCGGATATTTACATCCACGTATACTCTGGGTAGCGACCAAACACGCGTTTGGGAGCGAGCTATAGTGAGAAGGCGTAAAACTTCGCGTGCACTGGGTTTGGGTCCCGCCACGTTAAAATTGCATAACAACCTGGGATTTTATAAAAAAATACTAAACATAAAATAGACTAAAGAAATATACTCGAAATTTTTAAAATAACGACGAGTCTATTATTTCTGCCGCCAGTGTACCTGTGCCTACTTACTACTTAACTTTAGTCAACGCTAAGTTAAGCATAACTTTATTTATTTATTTTTTTCAAATTTCCCCTCTACTCACCCTAGAATCCTGTTCCAGTT